ACTAGTAGTGTTGTTTTTAAGTTTCATAGTTAAACACATTAAGGACAGAGATCCTATGTGGGGAGCATGTACCCAGTGACTCCCGTTGTTGATTTAACAGTTGGCACTCTTATTTATGGCGTCAGCAATCACCTGAGGCTCTTGCTATGAGCTGTCTAGGCTATGGAAGCCCCTTGAGTTCACCAGCTCTGTACTTGTTTAGTCAAGGCCATATCACAGTGGAAGTTCCTTCCTTCCTTCAGAGAAAGGCGCCTCTTTCCTTGATGGCCTGTTCCTTCTGCTGGGGTCTTGTTCACCAGGATCTTTCATTTAGATTGTTTTTTGCCACCGTGTCATGGCTTTCCATGCCTGTGAGACTCTCATGGACCTTTTAGCCAGATCCGAATGTCCCAAGGGTTGATTCTGAGGCAGGAGTGCTGTTTTGGGCGTTTGCCATTCTATGAGTCTGCTGTGTGTCCTGCTTCCCCCGCAGGATCATTCTCTCCCTTTTAATTCTATCCTTCTAAAAATAGATTTATTTGTTTATTTGAAAGGTAAGTAACAAACACAGAGAAAGGCAGAAAGAGAGGGAGAGAGAGAGAGATCTTCCATTAGCTGGTCTACTCCCAATATGGCTGCCACAGCCCACATTGGACCAGGCTGAAGCCAGGAACTAGGAACTTCATCCAGGTCTCCCACATGGGTGGCCATCTCCCACTGCTTTCCTAGGTGCATTGCAAGGAGCTGGATCAGAAGCAGAGCAGCCAGGACTCAAACCAGCACTGTGATTTAGGATGCCACTGTCAAAAGCAGTGGCTGAACCCACTGTGCCACAATACTGTCCCCCACAATCTAATAATCTTTGAAAAATTCAAGTGTTTCTCAGTCAAAATCTGTGTCCAAATGTTGTGATTCAGTTTGTTATGTCTTGATAGTCTCACTTTATTTACAAATCCCTATTGGTTTTCCACTTTACTATGTTTCTCAATTCCATATTCCTCATTCACTGCCTCCCTGTCTCTTTCCTCCTAATCCAAAGCAAACTGCTCAGCAGGGCTGTTTTGTTCACTGTCTTCACTTCTTTATGAACGGCCCCATCATGCCATTCGGATAGACCTCTGAGGCCATTCACGCTGCTGAAGCTGGGGACAGCAGGCAAGATGCTGGGTTGGGGTGCCCACATCCCATATCACTGTCCCGGGTTAGACTCCAGGCCCCATTGCAAATTCCAGCTTCCTGCTCATGCACACCCTCAGAGACAGCAGGTGATGTCACAAGGGCTCGGGTCCCTGCCACCCATGTGGGAGACCTTGATCCACTTCCAAGCTCCTGGTCTCAGCCTGGCCCAGCCCTGTTATTGCTGGCAATTGGGGAGTGAAGCAGCAGATGGGAGATCTCTCTCTCTCTCTCTGATAAATAAGTAAATAAGTGAATGAAAAATGTTGTCTCAGTCTGCACCAGACCTGTCCTTTCAACATCTCTGGACATCACTGTCCATTCCTTCCCTGTCCTATGACTTCACACTGGCTTCTCTTACCCGTTCCAGCTCCTCCTCCAGCTCCTTTGCCACCTCTGCTTCCTCTTAGGGGGATTCCTTGAAGCTTAGCCCAGGGCCCCTCCTTCATCCCACTCCTTCCTCTCTCTATAAGCAATCTCATGGTTCACCATCCATATGGCCATGATTCAAAAGGCATATCCCAGGACTGCCATTGTGGTGCAGAGAGTAAAGCCATTGCCTGCAATGCTGGCATCCCATATGAGCACTGGTTCATATGTTGGCTGCTCCACTTCCAATCCAGCTCCCTGCTAATGGCCTGGAAAAAGCGAAGGAAGGTGCTTGAGTGTTTGGGCTCCCGTACTGACATGGGAGACTGGGTGAAACCCTTGCCATTGCGGCCAACTAGGGAGTGAACCAGCAGATGGAAGATCTCTGTGTGTATGTGTGTGTGTACCCCTATTCCCTATCCCTGTGCAACTCTTTCAAAAAATCAATAAATCTTTTTTTAAAAAAATGTATATTCCTAACTCTAAACCCGTGCCTCTCCCCTGAGCAACAGACCCTTACACACAATTCTCTATTTGAAGTGTTCACTTGGATGGTCCAAAGGCTTGGCAACCTGGGTTTGCTCAGAGCAAAGCTCATCACCTTTCTCTGCCCTACTCTGCCTGTGTCTGTCACCACAATGCTGTCAACTGCCTTGGAGACAGCTCTCAAATGGGTCCACTTCTAGGTCTCTCCACTGCCACCAAAGCCAGACCACTACAATCTCTCAGCCCAGCTCAGACATCTATCTTCCTGCCTCCAGCCTTTCTTCATCTGATCAGTTCCCCAGATTACAACCAGAGTGATTTTTCCAAAGCACAAACCCCTGCCAGCTTTAAACACTATTTAACATATTCTCCCGGCTCTTAGGATGACAGAGCCAGCCTCTACATTGCCCAGGTGAGCCTAATCTTGTCGGCCACTTGGCCGTCCCCACCCGGAGCCCAGCCTGTCCGCAGATGCTGCTGCTTCTGTTCGAAGACCCTTTCATGGCTCACTTGGTTAATCCTCCGCCTGTGGCACCGGCATCCCATATGGGCGCCAGGTTCTAGTCCCGGTTGCCCCTCTTCCAGGCCAGCTCTCTGCTGTGGCCAGGGAGTGCAGTGGAGGATGGCCCAAGTGCTTGGGCCCTGCACCCCATGGGAGACCAGGAGAAGCACCTGGCTCCTGGCTTCGAATCGGCACAGCTCTGGCCATAGTGGCCATTTGGGGGGTGAACCAACAGAAGGAAGACCTTTCTTTCTCTCTCTCTCACTGTCTAACTTGTCAAATAAAAAAAAAAAAAGTTCTCTCATATCCATACTCCTTTCTGCATGGCTGCCGTTGTAATCTTAACCCTGCCTTCCATCTGGACTGTCACCACAGCCTGCTGAGTGATCTCTCTGCTTCTTTTCTTGCCCTGTTGAACTGAGATTTCAGACAATCGCCAACCAGGATGATGGTTTATGGCATAAGTCGAATCTTGCACTTAGTCGCCAAAAACCTCCCAGGAGCTCCCTGTTACAATTGGAATAAAACCCCAAAGTCCCCAGCGCTGACCACAGACCCAACTTAATCTGGTTTCTTTAAAAAAAAAATTATTTAGGCTGGCGCCGCGGCTCACTAGGCTAATCCTCCGCCTGCTATGCCGGCACACCAGGTTCTAGTCCCAGTTGGGGCACTGGATTCTGTCCCGGTTGCCCCTCTTCCAGGCCAGCTCTCTGCTGTGGCCAGGGAGTGCAGTGGAGGATGGCCCAAGTGCTTGGGCCCTGCACCCACACGGGAGACCAGGAGAAGCACCTGACTCCTGGCTTCAGATCAGCGCGGTGCACCGGCCACAGCGCGCTGGCCGAAGAGGCCATTGGAGGGTGAACCAACAGAAAGGAAGACCTTTCTCTCTGTCTCTCTCTCTCACTGTCCACTCTGCCTGTCCAAAAAATAAAATTATTTATTTATTTGAATGGCAGTTACAGAGAGGCAGAGGCAGAGAGAGAGAAGAGAGAGAGAGAGGTCTTCCATTCCCCTGGTTCACTCCCCAAATGGCCACAGTGGCTGGAGCTGTGCGGACCTGAAGCCAGGAGCTTCTTCCAGGTCTCCCACGTGAGTGCAGGGGCCCAGGCACTTGGGCCCTCTTCCACTGCTTTCCCAGGTGCATTAGCAGGGAGCTGGATCGGAAGTGGAGCAGCCAGGACTTGATTGGGTGCCCATTTGAGATGCCGGCACTGCAGGCAGTACTTTTACTCTATAGGCCACAGCGGTGGCCCAATCCGGTTTCTGATGATCTGTCCTCACACGGTGTCACAGCCCGTTACACTCACACTGGCCTGCCTTCTCTCCAACCTCTCTGCATTCCTTTTCCAACACCTTTCTTGCTCTTCCTCCTCTTGGAATGGTTGGCTGCCCTTTGTGATAAGTTTCAAAGAGGCAGCCTGACCACACCTCCTCGTCCAAGAAAGTCCCTCTCTGTTCCATGGCTTGCTTTTTACTTTCTGTGTAATACTGCAGAGCCTTGCCACAGCTTCCCATGTCACTCACCTCCTATCCACCCTCCTCCCTCTCCCCCTAACACACTAGCTGCCATGTTGTGTTTCCAGAACCTCAAGTGCTTTTCCTAAGGCTGAACTGTTAAATGGGCTGTTCCTTCTGTGCCAGATACTCTCACCCAAAAATCCACACAGTCTCACGCCTCATATCATTTAGGCGGACCGAGGCGCCACTTACCCGTTCTTCCTCAGTGACCATAATTAATTCAACAATGCTGTCCTCAAGCCTTTCGCTCCCTCTCCATCACATTTTGATTCCCCTCAAACCCCATTCCTGGAGCCTGTGCTGCGGCATAGTAGGCTAAGTCTCCGCCTGCATCGGCCGGCATGCCACATGGGCGCTGGCTGCTCTGCTTCCAATCCAGCTCCCTGCTAATGATCTGGGAAAGCAGTACAAGATGGCCCAAGTGCTCGGGCCCCTGCATGGGGGCTCCCTCCACATGGGAGACCTGGAGGAAGCTCCTGGCTCCGGATCACCTCAGCTCCAGCAGTTGCAGCCAACTGGGGAGTGAACCAGCAGGTGGAAGACATTCTCCCCACTCCCCACCCCGCCCCATTCCCCGGAACTTTACCTCTCAAATAAATAAATAAAATCTTAAAAAATAAAAAAGCCCATTCCTCGACATGTTAAGCAGTCATTGATTTACTGTCCGTTGTTTTGTGCCAATCAGAATGCGCCATCCAGGAGAGCAGGAATTCTGTTTTTTGAACTACCGTTTTCACTGTTCTTAGAAAGAGTTGGTGCTCAACACTTTCTTATTCAATAAGTGACTGCACAGATTCTCCTAATGTACGAACTGAATTTCTATGTCTTCCCCTCCCCCGCATGCCTCTGGGTGCACAACTGTACCCCCTCCCCCATAAAAAGGAGAAACATTCAACCCCGTTTGCTAACCATAACCGATTCTAGCTCCCCAGCCACTTCTCTCCCCGGAGACGGCACTTCCAACACTCACAGGCTATTATTTCTCGTGCGGGTCCGTCACTTATTTTCTGGTGATTGAGCAGGTGGCCCCGGCTGGGGCGCCCCACTCGCACCCCAGGGAGAGCGGCTAGCTGAGGACGGCGGGGCGCGCGCGGTCTCTGAGGGCCCTGTGCTCCCTCCAGGCCCGCGCCTGGCGCCCCGGGGGCGCGCCGAGCCGGAAGCCTTGCGCCACCGGCGCACACAAGGCCTGAAGCAAACACTTAGGAAGACCGGTGCAAAAGAAACCGGCTTCTTCGCCGGCTGCGGAACCTGCCCGCGGCCCCTCAGGTTCCGAAATTTCGAGGTTAGGACGATGGCTGCGTTGGCCAAGGGCCGCGCCTGAGAGCCGCGCGCAGGCGCGCGCTCCACAGGTGGGCGAGGCCCAGCGGAGCTGGCGCGCGGGAGCCAGCCCAGGAGGCACGGCCCCGGGACGGAGGGCGACCAGCGGCTTCGGACCCCCGGAGCCCGCTACTCCCTCTTGTGCCAGCGGCTGTGTGTCTCCACCCAGGGGCTCCTCGCCGTTCCGTGCGAGGCGCCACCCATCTGCGCCCTGCGTGGGAAGGGCAGGGTGATACCACTTCCTCCCCGAGGCCGCCGACCTGCAGCAGGGGTGCAGCCGACTGCAGAAGCGCGGGAGACCGCGTCGCCATCCCGCCGGTGTCCTGCGCCCCGCCGCGCCCCCGCGGAGCCGTCGAGGTAAGCGGCGCCCGCGCGGCAGGGAGCCCTCGGAGCTGTCCCGGGACCTTGTGGCAGGCGCCCGGGGGTCGCAGGCCCCGCGAACGCGAGCTTCCTCTCCTGCCGGGCCCTGGAGGGCAGGGGTCTCCCGGGGGTGGGGTGGGGGTCGATCCGCTCATCTGCGCACTGGACCCGGCCGGCCCCGCGAACGCGGGCTTCCTCTCCTGCCTGGCCCTGGAGGGCAGGGGTCTCCCGGGGCGGGGTGGGGGTGGGGGTCGCTCCGCTCATCTGCGCACTGGACCCGGCCGGCGCGGGGGTCGGGGCTGGGGCTGGCGGTTTCCTCAGCTTTGACATTTTCCCCGCCCTGGAAGTCGCTGCCAGCGTGCACTGGTGCGAACGCCACTGGTCTGGAGCACCCCGGGGGTCCCTAGAGCGCACGGTGGGTGGGGATGGGGCGGGGAAGGGTTGGATGCGAATCCGGGCAGGGTCTCTCGGTGTCCACCGCCATGCCACGCGTCTGATAGCGTCTCCTTCCTGTGCGCCTTGAAGACCCCTTCTGGTTTTAAGAGATAATTTCTCCGCTTCGGAATACCAAAAAGATAGATTTGGCTAGCATGCCTAGGTTTCGGAATCCGGCCGGGCACCAGGGTCCAAAAGGAATGACCCAGCGCTGGTACTGCTTGCTTGCTCTCTGGGAAGGCGGTTGGTTGGTTTGCTTTTTGTTTTGGTGTCCACACCCTGCGGAAGTTGAAATGCGTCCTCCCCTGTGTGCTCTTTAGACAAAATGCAGCGAGAGAGGAGGGTGCGTGGGTCACGTCCCCTAGATGTGATGGCGGGAAGCTGGACGCGGTTTAAACAAAGGCAGGGCTGCTAGCTGTCACCTGTTGCAGGATCTGGGCCTCCACACTGAAATTTCAAAAAGGGAACCTTTTCGTTCTGAATACGCTCTGGGTGACAACTTTCCCTCCCGCCTCTCTGAGACGCTGGGACGCCACGTGGGCCCTCTCTGGCTGTCAGGCTGGCCACCCATCCAGGCAGGGCGCCTGGCCTCTGTGAGGTGCTTCCTCTCTGCTCCGGGTGCCTGGCAGGCTTTGATGCCTACACGATCTTTCCACTCCTAGTGATGGGCCTCTTCTCTGGGCTTTGCGGAGTCCTGGGTTCCAGCCACTGGTCACACAAGGATGGCCTTGGCTGGGCTGTTTTAACCTCACCGGACCTCACCTAACTTATCAGCAAAGGGAGATTAAAGAACTGTGTTATCTAAGAGTGGAGACAATAGTCATGGGAGAGGATCTCCTTGACTTGTGGGATACCAGCACTCTGGGGGGTTTTGTTTGGGGGGATTTGCTACTAAAAGCGGAGTCCAGTTTTGGTCTATGCATAAGATGGACGTTTCCACCTTACTGATAAACTGAGCAGGGAATCAGCACAATGCTGACAGCTCAATATTAGGTACTTTAGAAAATGAAGAAGTAAAGTGTGTGGGGAATGGAATTAAAAGATAGATTTGTTTGGGTGCCAAAAATTTTGTGAAGCCCATGCCTAGTTTCTTTGTGACATTCAACCTTCGTAAACTTTTTTTTTTTAAAGATTGATTTATTTATTTGAGAGGCACAGAGAGAGAGAGAGAGAGAGAGGGCTTCCATATGGGATGCCGGCACTGAAGGCAGCAGCTTTACTGGCTACACCACAGCGCCAGCCCCTTGTAAACTTTTAAAATATACATGGATTTCCAAATTTTTGCCCCAAAATAAATGTATCTTTTAAATCTTTTCCATATGAATTTCTTGAAGTACCCTTGTTATTTCAAAATTTTTCAATTGTTGTCTCTCAAGAAATAATTTTATAATGTGAATTTCTTTGTGGCCATGTTACTTGAAATCTTAACTTGCTAGGTTATATAGAGATCATTTCATTTTTTAGTGTTTTTAGATACTAAGAATTTAATCATTTACAAATTCCCCTTTTTTTATATTTTTCCACTTACAAGTAAGACTTTCTCAATATTTCCATATTCCTTTTTTAATATTTATTTTTTATTTATTTGAAAGGCAGAGTTATAGGGAGAGATGGAGAGACAGAAAGAGAGAGAAAGAGGAGGGAGAGAGAGAGAGAGGTCCTTCATTCATGAGTTCACTCCCCATATGGCCACAATAGCTAGGGCTGGGTCAGGCTGAAGCCAGAAGCCTGGAGTTGGTGCAGGGGCCCAACCACTTGGGTCATTTTCTGCTGCTTTCCCAGGCTCATTAGCAGGGAGCTGGATCAGAAGCAGAGCAGCCCGGTACTCAAACTGGTGCTCATATGGGATGCCCACGTGGCAGGAAGAGGCTTAACCCACTATGCCACAGTGCCAGTCCCTCCATGTTCGTATTAGAATGAGCAATTTGTAGAGTTCATTGTCATAAATGTCTGTGTTTAGAATGAGAAATTTGTAGAGTTCATTGTCATAAATGTCTGTGTTTTGTTTGCCACTTTGAATTTTATTTAAGCCATCTTCCTTTCTAAGGGCATTATTTTATTTACTTCTAATCTTCTTCAAGTTTATTTAATTACTTTTATACTTAAAAACTTTTAGCTAGTCCACAAACCCTGTAATAAATTAAGTTTGCATTCCATTGTACTCAAATGACAATCTTTACGACTGTATAAGACATCCTAAATTTATTTTATAAGCAGTAAAATGATCTAAGAAGTTCTCAATAGAAAATAATAGAACCATTCTTATTAACATGATTGTTATTTTCAATATGAAAATTTGTGTGTTTTCCATCAGTCTAATAGCAGTCACACTATGTGGCAAGTAACTTAAAATACATGTATTCATTATATAAATTTAAGTGTAGAAGATTTAAATTTTCAAATGTAGGAGATTAAGATATTAGGTCAGCACACTGGTTGTATAGTGATTTATTATGTAATATGGTCACAGTGCTCATGAGGAACAGGACTTGAAGAGGGCACTGTTTCCTATCTGGAAAGTGACTATTAGGTGTCTTGAGAAGGGAGAATGCATCAAGCCACCTCCCTCCAGTACAAGAGACCGGTGTACGTGCAGTGGCGCAGGGCAGGTCTTGAGGACACATGCTAGGGACTGGGAGATGGCACCTGTCACCACCACGTCCCCATGGTTAAGACACAGGAAGTGTTGGAATACAATGATTCAGTTTCTCGGAGGTACTAGCAAAATGTCACAAGACCCTGACAACCGGTTGGCCCCCTTGATCTTAGCCATAGGCATGAGTAGGCAGACACGTGACACTGCTCCAAGGCACCAAGGCTCTGCGCCTGCTCAGTGCACATTCCAGAGCATGATTTCATGACTCCTTTGCCAGCACTTCTAACTAAGTACTGGCTTGAATGTGAATCGTTAAAAATCCTATTAGGAGACCTGTTTTCTTTCTTCTGTCAACTCATATTCCTCTTTGATTACCAGATGATAATAGTAAATAATATTTGCTATAGCATTTATTTAGCTCCTATGACAGGTGGAGTATCCCTTGTCTGAAATATTTAGGACCAAAAGTGTTTCAGATTTTGAGATATCTGCGTGTACATGATGAGATATCTTGGGAATGGGTCTGAACTCTAAACATGATTTCATTTGTGTTTCATATGCACCTTATATACATACATATATATATATATATCCCCGGATATACCACATATGTACATATAGATACATATAAATGTAGGCTGAAGGTAATTTTATGCAATTTTTAAAATAATTTTGTGGTTGGGGTAAAGTTTGTATGTCAAAGCCGAAGGTGCTAGAAGGGTCTTTTTATCCCCTTGGGGACAGTAAGCTGTGTTGTACACCTGCATTTTGACTGTGACCTGTCTGTCACATGAGGTCAAGTGTGGCATATTCTGCCCGTGGTGTCATGTCAGCACTCAGAACATTTCAGATTGGGAACATTTGGGATTTCAGCTTTTCAGAGGAGGGACACTCCCTCAACTTTTATATGAAACCCGTGCTCATCCTCACAGCCTGGACTTATGCTATCATTACTGCCTGTTTCATCATTGAGGAGATGAAAGCTCAGAGAGATAAGAAACTCACACAGGGCACAGGATGTGAGCTGACATGGAATGGGGCCAGTCTGAGACCAGGGTGAGGCACTGTGCCAGGGGCTAGGGCTTCCCTGGTGAGGAAAGGTGGCGCTTTCTTCAAGAAACTGACAATCAAGTTGAGAAGATGTAACCAGGCAGGTGTCATTCTATGGTGGCTATGGGAGGACACACCGGCATCCTACCCCAGATTAGGGTCAAGGAAGTACCCTGACCCAGCCAGAAACCTGCTTTGTTCCACCAGGAAGACAAGACACTGCCTTTGATTTTGAAGTCATTCCTTCTAGATGTGTCTTTTGAAACAATGATCTGCTTTATCGGCAATCAGATGTTTTCATTTTTGTTTTTGTTCCAATCCCTGACATCAGCCTGCTAGGTTATGGAAATTGACAAGGCCGTGAGTCTCAGGGGTTTTTGTTGTTGTTGTTGTTTGTTTGTTTTGCCTAAGTCTGCCTAGAATCCTCTGCTTTGGTCTCTCCTCACAGACTCACTGGGGGCATGGTTGTGGGTGTAGAAGGGGAGTAAATGCTATATCACAAAGCAGGTCCGTTTCCACAGGCTGCAGCTGGCCAACTCAACCCTGGACAGCTGCATCCCATGAAACTGCCGAGAAACAGGAAGTGGTATTAGAACAAGTGACACAGGATTGGATTTATTTTCTCTTCATTCTTATATGAAATATTTCAGACATTCAAAAGATGATGTATTACACATAAATAAAAGTATATACACACATGCATATATATATACATATATATATAAAAAAAAAAACAGTAATAATTGGCTGGCACTGCAGCTCAATAGGCTAATCCTCCACCTAGCAGCGCCGGCACACTGGGTTCTAGTCCCGGTCGGGGCGCCGGATTCTGTCCTGGTTGCCCCTCTTCCAGGCCAGCTCTCTGCTGTGGCCAGGGAGTGCAGTGGAGGATGTGCTTGGGCCCTGCAACCCATGG